GTCACTGTGCGTTCGCGAAAGCGAAAATGCAAACGCTAATGCAGGATTTGCAATTGCATTTGGATTATGTCACAATTTATGCGTCCACATATTGAAAACGCAATTGAAAATACAATTTGCTATTCTATTTGAAAATTGTCCGGAATATCGTTCCATAAATGAAATTCTGAAAGCTTGTAATGCAAATCAGTGAGATCTTTATTACAGCTTACTACTGACAAGAGTTGTCACTCTATATGTTTCAATAGTGTTTTAATAAGTTGATATAAATATGTGACCCTGGACCACAAAACCAGTCATAAGGGTAAATTCTGAAATCTCAAAGCTGAATAAATAAGCTTTCCATTGATGTATGGTTTGTTAGGATAGGACAATATTTGGTCGAGATACAACTATTTGAAAATCTGGAATCTGAGGGTGCAAAACAATCAAAACATTGAGAAAATCGTCTTTAAATCGGTCCAAACTAAGTTCTTAGCAATGCATATTACTAATCAAAAATGAAGTTTTGATATATTTATGGTAGGAAATTTACAAAGTATCTTCATGGAACATGATCTTTAATTAATATCCTAATGATTTTTGGCATAAAAGAAAAATCGATCATTTTGACCCATGCAATGTATTTTTGGCTATTGCTACAAATATACCCCAGCGACTTAAGACTGCTTTTGTGCTCCAGGGTCACGTATGCTTAGTTTTATGATCATAGCTCTGTAGTTTCAAAGCATATAATGCAATGTAATACAATGATGATTGAGAGACTAACAAATAAACGCTCCTCAAATGCCTGATGATTATATTTGATACTCACATTTGAACATTAAATAATGTATGGATAATCAAGTAAACTTAAGTTACTTCAGTTCATCTTTAAATATTACTAACAATAAGTTATTCTCATATTCCCTGAATAAAGATTTCACAGCAAAAACACACGTGAACAACGACTTGAAGGTGGATGTTTGTACAATTATACTAAAAGGTATTTTACTTGCTAAAAAAGTATAAACTATCAGTCAGATGACAAAAGCCATGTAGCAGATTATGAACAACAGGTTTTTAGATAATTGGAGTCTTCATTTGCTTATCAAATATGATACAGTAGGCTTATAGGGTTAGAGTAGGAAAAGCTTATTTTCCTGTGATTATGCATGCAAATTTCCTTCATAAAAACAGTATTAAGAGTATGAAGTGCATATGCTTTATGTAGTTTTATTGCTATAGATTCACATGAAAACGATTTTCACATCTACATGTCATTTGCTTCGCTTGTTTTGGAGGTTCAGTTTGTCTTAGAGGTCTTCTGTCATGGCAGCTCAATCTAAATATGTTACCAAGGATAGTCTTTTATGTGTAAAAACATCACATTTTTGGATTTAATTTGATAAAAGATGTAACTGTTACTACATTTGCTTTGTGATGCTGAATGCAAACTGAATTGATGAACCATTTTCTGCACTGTATATGTACAGTGTGTTGCCCTGCATATACTAATGTATAATTGGAATTAAAAGTGATTTGTTAAAAGTACATACACGTACATTCATCTTATGACAGGTGAATTGATGTAATTGCTTAAAATATATTGTTTACTTTGACTTATTAAATAGCTATTGATAAAAAAAAAAAAAGCTGGATCTGTATCAATGAATCAATAAATAAAAAAAGTCACATGAATTAACCTTTTTTGTCATTTTGATACTAATTTGCAGTATATATATATATATATATATATATATATATTTGCGACACAACTCGCTTGGAGCGCCTGCAGCGTTTGTTTGTAGACTCTAGCGCGTCGTGCAGCGTTTGCAGTGCAGGTGAGATATTGTGAACAGTGACATTCATTCAGCAAACTGAGCGACTGGGGCAAGTTGTCACACACGGGGAAGTTGCCACAAATCTCAGTAACCCTGAGGTGTGGAGTCAAAAGTCCATACGTGTTTGTTTTTTTTTTTTGTTTTTTTTGTCTAGCAGTGGTTTTGCATGTTGAATTGTTCAAGCTGTTCATTCATTTAGTTTTTGTGACTGTTTTAATGCTTAAAGTTGGCTGAAAAACCCATTAAGTGTAAATTGTGACAACTTACCCCGTGGCATCATGACCTGTTTTGGGGCTATCGTGCGTTCAGTGGGCCAAATGTTTAATAATTAATGTTTTTGTAGTCGTGTCTGTTGAAGTTTGTTTCTATACAGAAGTGGAAAATTTAAAAATAAGCACAAAGTGGGAAATAATCACTGGAGTATATGTGACAACTAGCCCCGGTGTCTTCTACATGACTAAACAGAGTTGTAAAGTTTATTTGGAGTATGTAAGCCTGGTCAGTTAAGTACTGGTATCATTTGACAATACCATGGTAGTTTGATCTAGTATTGAATGTTTACCATGGTGCTGCTTGATATTTCATGAGACGCCTCTATTCTTTTAAAACATTTAATTGCAGAATAAGAGTCCAAATGTGTCTGGTTGTACCAGCGCTGCGGAGGTCACTCGTTAAAATTCAATGTAGCTACTGTAACTCACAAAAGAAAGCTTGTTTTGTTTGTAACCAAATGACCAATTACCTCAAGCCAAGGAAAAATGAGTCACGTCTTTAGCTGGCACAACACTCCAGCTCTGGAAAAGGGTTTTGCTGGATGTGGTGGATTGTAGACGTCTAGAAGAATTAGTCAGCTGGACCGAGCTGGTACATGGATTGGTTCACGTCTAGCTTTTACAATCGAAAGCGAAAAATGATTAGACTTCCTTTACATTGGACTTCTATAAAAAGATTGGCAGCGGCGTTATGTTCGAGGAACTGCATAAGAAAGTCTCAGATGCCTGTTGTGTCGCTTCCTTGCTGGATTTTCATATTCAAATCAAATGTTATTTTGAAATTATACATTGTTCACAATCTGCTTTGCTTCATAACTGGATCTGTTTCTGAGGGGGAATGGATGTTCATCAAGAAAAATGCAGGTTTGGACTTTCATGCATTTGAAAATTTAGGAGATCAGAAAGCTTTTAACGACCTGTACCAGGAAAGTGTATTAAAAAGGGTCAATTTTTTATTTCATTTATACTTTAATGTCAAAAGCAGCAAGTGTGTGACATGGTTTATGATTTACCTTAATGCTATCAGTGTATATCTTTAATGAAGCAATGCAATTAATATTTCCAAAATTATCTAGATTCTGTTGCATTCTATATAGTGTTGTCTGGTTATGTTTTGCTTGTCTAGAAGTTTAACGTGTCTCTAAATTTTGTTTTGAAGACAAACGAATGGATGGATGTCATGCAATCTGTTCCTGAAGGGGCATTTTATGTATCTTCGGTCCATGAAGACGTCTTGCAAATGACACTGCAGCTTTCAGCCTGAAATATGTCGTACTGGTACGTCAAAGAGACTGCAGATCCGGGCGGCAGCGCCAGCAGCATGGAGGAGCAAGCTGGTAAGAAACCTTTACACGTCCAGCAGGGTCCAAAAATTATCTCAAACTAATCAGGTATTTACCAGATGTCGCATAGGTCATACAAGTCTGACTCAAGCATTTTTGCTTAAAGGTGAAGACACTACTCAATGTATGTTTTGCAAGGTTCCCCTTTCTGTTAAACATATTTTATTGGACTGTCCAGCTTTTAATGTACAGAGAAAACTCTTTTATGAACTCACTTAAAGAGTTATTTAGACAAATTTTGCCAAGAAAAGTTTTAGAATTTTTATCACGTTAATATAAAAAATCTTGTGTGATTTATACCTTGTTTATTTGTTTGCTGGTTTTTATTGTATTTGTTATACTTGTATTTTTTTAAACTGTTTTTGCCATTTGATGTCTTTGATGCTGACATGGCATTAAATAAATATATACTACTACTCAAACTAATCAGAAAAAGCGTATTTATTTATTAAAATTAGGGCTGTCAGTCGATTAAAATGTTTAATCTAATTCATTACATGATGTTTCGATTAATTAATCGCAAAATAAATTTGACTGTGAAAATACCCACAAAAGATTATTTAAAGCTATTTTTCGTGTTAAATGAGAAAGTATCAAGCAGATATTACAAATTGTAGCTTTATAGAGAAACATTTTATTTGATTCAACATAAAACTTATTACACTTGTATTTTTTTAAACTGTTTTTGCCATTTGATGTCTTTGATGCTGACATGGCATTAAATAAATATATACTACTACTACTACTCAAACTAATCAGAAAAAGCGTATTTATTTATTAAAATTAGGGCTGTCAGTCGATTAAAAGGTTTAATCTAATTCATTACATGATGTTTCGATTAATTAATCGCAAAATAAATTTGACTGTGAAAATACCCACAAAAGATTATTTAAAGCTATTTTTCGTGTTAAATGAGAAAGTATCAAGCAGATATTACAAATTGTAGCTTTATAGAGAAACATTTTATTTGATTCAACATAAAACTTATTACACATAAACATTTAGGCTACAACAGCCTAACGTAAACTATGGAACGTAAAAGAAGATCATTTAAGAAACATTTCAGTATTGTTTGTTCATACAATGAAAGTCATTGGTAACCAAAACAGCTTTGTTACCAACAGTCTTCAAAATACCTTCTTTTATGTTCCACAAAAGAAAGGTTTGAAACGACATGAGGGTCAGTAAATGATGACAGAATTTTTTTTTTTTTTGCGTGAACTATCCCTTTAATGTTTTTTTTGTATTAATATTATTTATTTATTAAAGAAATAATACTCTAAATAAGAAACTAAATCTGCCAGCAGGTGGCGGTAAATGTCTTTGAGTCATTCATTCATTCGATTCGTGCAAACGGCTGATTCATTCAGGAATGAAGTAAACGGCTCTCTTTAAGAAGGGGCTTTTGTATAAGTGACGTGACATGTGGCCAAGTATGGTGACCCATACTAGGAATTAGTGCTCTGCATTTATTCCATCCAAAGTGCACACACACAGCAGTGAACACACACACACACACACCGTGAAGACACACCCGGAGCAGTGGGCAGCCATTTGTTTTGCTGCGGCGCCCGGAGAGCAGTTGGGGGTTCGGTGCCTTGCTCAAGGGCACCTCAGTCATGGTATTGAAGGTGGGAAATTGTATCATTGATTTCACATGATTTGTTCAAAACGTGGATTCATTCAGAAACTAAACACCGCTGTGTTGCTCGGAGACGGGTAATATGGTTTCTGCAAAATTGAGCAAAACACATAATATAATATTGTGTTTAAAATATAACACAATATCAACTTTTTATTTACTGAACTGTTGTATAAAATCACATTTAAACTTGTGATATTCGGGACAAAATCAGCACTCGTGTGATATTACTCTAGCTGCTGGTGTAATATCGCTTATCATATGATATAAATATGAAACAAAACATACAGGGGCTTTTTTTTTTTTTGGCACCAATATCTTGATTTTTAGGGCATAACTACATTTATGGAGTTGTTGCCCTGCATCATATTTGTCAACTATGAAATATAAGATGATGTACAGGTTTGGGGGCGGGGCCAGTGCGTTAACTGTGTTAAAATATTTTAATTAAGTTAACCCGTTAAACTGACAGCCCTAATTAAAATATTTCATAAATAATTGTAAATAAATAAATATTAATAATTGTATTAAATTGATAAATAAATAAATATTATTAATAGTATCAATAAATTATTATTAACAAATAACTATTAAATATTTAAAATATTAATAATTAATATTATTTTATTTTGAGGCATTAAAAATAAAAAAACAAATATTTAAATATTTATCAACATTTAATTTTATTATTATTATTGTTGTTATTATGATAGTTTAATTATTTAGCTGTAGGGATGGCTTGATGCCATAATTGTGGCTTCGGTATGATACCAGAATCTAATACCTCGGTATTAATACTAAATCGATACCATAGGTGACAAATAAGCAGCCTCAAAAGATAACTAAATTTAAAAACTTCAGAGATTAAAAAAAAAACGATTATTGAATAACTTATTGCATTACACACAAAGTGCAATCTACCTGTAAAAAGCAACACATTACTAAATCTGACACTTGTTCTATGTAGTTTGCATTTACACTTTAAATGCAAACTATACAGTTTGCATTTAATGCACAGATCTGTTTTGACATGCAGTATCTGTTGTTTTGCCCCATCTGTTACTATGCTTATCACTGTCAATCATCGCAGTTTCGGATTCAATCCACCATTTAAATAAGGCTGTCAGAAATGTCTGTGATTGGCTGCAATGCCTAACGCTGCAATAACGCGTTATAAGAAACCTTTGATGCTCATCACAGAGCACAATTATTATTGAATAACTTATTGCATTACACACAAAGTGCAATCTACCTGTAAAAAGCAACACATTAATAAATCTGACACTTGTTCTATGTAGTTTGCATTTACACTTTAAATGCAAACTATACAGTTTGCATTTAATGCACAGATCTGTTTTGACATGCAGTATCTGTTGTTTTGCCCCATCTGTTACTATGCTTATCACTGTCAATCATCGCAGTTTCGGATTCAATCCACCATTTAAATAAGGCTGTCAGAAATGTCTGTGATTGGCTGCAATGCCTAACGCTGCAATAACGCGTTATAAGAAACCTTTGATGCTCATCACAGAGCACTTACACAAATATAAACTGGAGCATCAGCATTATATCAATATTCACAATATCTTATATCCTCATCACAATGATTCTGTAGAGTGAGTTTTATCTGTTTGCTACAGCTTTTTGAATGCACTGCAAAAACTTGTTTACCCGTTGAATAAAGTAGATTTTTCTGAGCTCTTTTGCAAGATAATTGTTCTTGTTTTAATCCATTTTAATAGTTATTTCCATATTCTAGTTAAGCTATTTTTGTACACACTATTGATGTATTTTGTTTCCTTAAATTTATTCCTTAAATTTTCTTTGCTTGGTCTTAAAATGGTCTTAAATTATCTTCATAAAACCTGCAGAAACGTTTGAAATATGGTGTATATACCAGTATTTTTCCAGTAACGGTACACCGTGCAACCCTATTTAGTAGTTTATTTTTTTATTTATTTGTATATTTGTCACAAATGGCACTTTATTCAGTGTTCATTTGGGACCCTATCTGGCAGTAATCTACTTGCAAAAAAACATTTTTTGACTTCTCAAGACAGATTGACAGCAGATCCTCTAAATAAACCCTAAAAACAGTGACATTTTTCTCAGCGAAGGCATGAGAAACTTCCTCATTGCTTTACAAACGGCATGTTGCCAGTGCATATGGTGTAGTTTGTTGAAACACTAATTTTGCATAATCGTACCACTACGAAGGTTAATATTTCCCTCTGAGAGAAACACCAGTTCAGCAACTTTACTGTGTCATGTGAGAGTGTGGTACTGAGAATGAGATAACATGGGCCTGGTGTAGCATGTAAGAAGCAGCGTGTATAATAAAAGATTTGTTTGGATTTGGTTGTTCTTTTCACCCCTCTGAAACCTGAGACACCATCAGTGCAGTTATGGTTCGAGGAACTTGACCGTCTGCACAGCATTTATAGAAATATGAAGTGAAACAGTGAACGTCACTTCCTCTCACATATACTCAAGTTTGAATGTGAGGTTGGCCTGTATGCTAGCAGCATTTGTGCATTCAGCTCTCAACCTTTATTCATATTTGGCTGCTGATTAATATAGGCATGACTACAGATTCATATAGTTGATTGTGCTCCATCTCATTTGTTGTTGACCAGTAGCTACTAATATCACATTTTAAATTAGCCAAAAACAGCCTCTAAATATACATTAGCAATCAAAATTTGAACACACTTGACTGAATTAGTTACTCTTGGTCTTAAAAACACTTTCTTCTAAATATTTCTGCTAAAATGTTTGAAACTAGTTTTGTAGACAGATGTATTTTAGATTTGCTTAGCATTGTTTTTTAATCACTACATTTGTGTTATTTGTAGTTGTGATAAATTCATTAAATTGTTTAAATATATGATGCATTATTTTTTTATTTATCGAATATATAGAGGTATTTATTTTTATGTTGAAAATAGCAATAATAAATAATGACGAATGAATATATCTCCAAATATTTGACAACTGTGTGTCGCTGGTAAGAAACATAATATATTAATAAATTATTAATAAATATTTATAAATAAATACATGCATTGATATATTCATAAAACAAACCATTTTAAAAATAAATAAATTCGTTTTTTGATTGATTGAACAAATTAATAAATATATAGAGGTGTTTGTTCGTTCGTTTGTTTGTTGAATGTTGAAAATATTCCTAATAAAGATTGAGTAGGTCTCCAAACTACTCCCATATGTATCCTGTATAGCTCCTATATAATGGTAAGAAACTTTCTATTCAGCTAAATGAACAAATGTATTGATTCATTTATTTTAATTTATGATAATACAATATAACAGTGTAAAGCTGTTATGGTCTGTTGATCAGAGGAAGTCAGTTGAAAGCCCATAACATCCAGAGAAACTCCAAATAAAGCAAAAAATAAATATTACAGAAGATGAAAAACTTTAAACCCAGCTGAAATAAAAATGTTGCCTTTAGTTGAAATACTAAAATGATTAAAACCGAAATTTTAAGATGAATATTAAAAAACAACAAACTTAAACCAAAAGCTAATTCTAGCATGTTACTGAGTTAATGGCATGGTAACTCCAAAAAATACACAACACACAAAATTAAAATAAGCTGTGTTTAATTTAAGAATGTAGCTGCTGTTTTTATATATACATTTCAGTATTTAATGAAAAGTATTTCAGTATTAATCATGGCATCACTAGGTTCTGTCATTCAGAAACATGGCTTTTCATATCACTGCTATGCTGATGACACTCAACTCTACCTCTCATTCCATCCTGATGATCCAACGATAGCTGCTATACTGGCAGTTCTGACTCGGTCTGTAAGTACGTTTTCATTTAAAGGATTTGCCACTGATGATTCAAACGCGAGTTTTGGGCAGTGTAGAGTAGCACTTGTTGTTTGTCATTTCTCGGATCACAAATGCAGACAGGGTTTTATGTCTACGCGGCGCGATACAATGCAACGCGTAAAAAGACTGTATAAGTCATTATAATCAGTAATTATGTCCCCACTGGATGCAACAAATGCCTCGTTTGTAATGGGTGTTTTTTGTCTCTTCGCTCCGGCTGCACTGGATAGCTGGCCAATCACAGCACACCTCGCTTTTCAGACCGATGAGCTTTGTAAAATTCAACGTGTTTCAAAAAGGCGGGGCACAGAGGAGAAACAATAATGTACAGTATGTGGAAAATAATGTGTTTTTTTTTTTACTTTAAACCGCATAAACATTTAATTACACCAAATACACAAAATAATGTTCTTTTTAGCAACATCATATGACCCCTTTAAGCTTCTGAAGTCATATAATGTTATGTATCTGTCTATCTGTCTGTCTATCTATCTGTCATTCTATCATTCGAACTATCATTCTGTCTATCTGTCGTTCTTTCCGTTGTACTCTCTGAACTATTAAAATTGTTTTCTATTGACTATTGCTTCGTTAATTGAAATAAAGCTGAAATAAAATGCTATCTTTAGATGAAAAACTTGCAAAAACGTAAATGAACATTTGAAATATTACCTTGGCAACTAACTGAAAAAAAAAAAGAAATTAAAGCTTAATTGAAACAAACCTAATAAAATTACTAAAACTTAAACTTAAACTAAAATTCAAATGAAAACATAAAGCTAATTTAAAATTAATAAATAATAAAATAGTAAATAATACAAAATAATCGTATCTGTGTATCTATCTATCTATTTATCTATCTATTTCAATTATACCTGTCATTTTACTCATATTTAGCTGTATTTTTAGATTAACTTTAGTGGACGTGGGTGCTTATTAAATTTTTTTTATTTAATTAAATTTTTTTTTATTATTATTAGTATAGTAGTAGTAGTAGTAGTAGTATTTATTTATTTATTGCAAGATCAAGCTTTTTAGTTTTAGGTGTAGTAATTTTTATTATTATTTTTCCATATATTGTACTAAAGTAATAAATGTGACTTAACCTTATACCCTTTAGGTATAAAGTGTAGGCCATGTGACTTAAAACCATTTTATTTTTTCAGTTTTTGAGTAGTTTTAATCAGCCTTTTGCATGTCATTTTAAGTGGTCTTGCATTGAGAAATAAATTTTTAAAAGTACAAATATTACATTTAGTTTGTAAAATAGCACACAAAACAACATGCATAATAATTACAAAAGAATCACCAAAATGCCACATAAAATAGTTTTAGATGAAGTTTTGCATGCTACACCATAGAGCATGCCAACTTCCCAAAAAATATTTCATGCAAACTACAGTACCAGCATACATTCCTTTTTTTAGTTTGTGTCCAGATTGTGTGTGTGTTTGCTTTTAGACATGTTTGAATCTGCAGCCGTTTATCTTCGATCCTTTTCAGAGGCAACAGTTCCATAATGTGCTACTGCAAGCTCTGTAGGAAAAAAAAAGCATCCAAAAGCATACAAGATGTATTATGATGCATGCAATATTTTAAAGTATTGCTGAAAATGGTTAAATGTAAGTTGCTGCTTGTGTTAAACTGTAAAAAATGAGGACTGAAATACAATATTGAACCAGTTTTGTAAGTGGCCACGTACACACTATGAAGTTTCAGGAGCAGGCACGTGCACACATAGACATCAAAGGGGGCTTGAGCACCTGCCCTTTTTCTTCCTTGAGAGAAAGTGGCCTTTTTCTGTGGAGTTTAAAAAAAAAAAATTTTTTTATAAATGTATGTATATATGTGCGTGTGTGTTAGGGTTGTGACGGTGAGGACATTTTCCCACCGGTTAATCGACGTGTGACAACACCGGTAATACCGGTATCACCGTGGGGGCAGGGGCATTCCCCCTTTTCCTTGCTTTCCTTTGCTTTTAAATGGCTTGTAAAAGCGGCGTGCCCATTTTACTTTCACTTTCAAACAGCGGCAATTCGGTGTAAAGCAATTGTTCGTTTGAATTTTCCCTCTTTTCCTCGCTTTCCTTCGCTTTTAAATCACTTAAAAGCGCTGTGCGCATTTTACTTTCACTTTCGAATTAGCGGCAGTTCGGCATCAATTGCTTGAATGCAACAACAAAATACAACGTCAAACTCACTTTATCCTATATATAAAACATAGAACTTTTATTAACAAAATTTTTTTTTAATGCACCATGCTATAGGACAGGCTATGCCTAATATAAAATAAAAAATTACTTGCATAAAGTTTAAATGTATACAAAACTGGAAATAGGCTAAGTAAACATGTATAATATATAACCAAATAAGAAATGTAGAACGTTACGGTAAAGGACTGTAAAACTCCTATGATTAAAAACTGTAAATTGGTTAACAGTAAGTTTCTGTAAACTATAATGGATGTAATAGTACATATCATGTAATTTTGTAAGTTTAATGTTTTTTAATTGAAAAACAAGTCGTCGTCTTAGAATTTACAGTGGAAACCATAAATCAACATTCCCAGAATTCCCTGTGTGACAATTTGCATATGTTTTTTAATGAAACAGTTTCTTACTTTTTATCATTTATGCACATTAGGGTTTTATGTTACATATTATGTTGTTAAATTAATGTTTATTGCATTGTTTTAGTGTCATGTTACTTTCTCTTTACCATATTTGTTTAAGGTGGCTGTCAAGTAGGTAAAAAACAGATGTTAAGGATTTGGTATATGAACATTATTTTGGTTGGTGCAACCACAGGTGTTTTTTTTAACACAGTTTACAACAAGCTACTGAAACTCAAACAATAGATCATCCCACTGGCATTGCCAAAATCATGGGTTTAATTGATAATATGATACATTTGGACTGATGGAATGTGTAACTTAAATGCTTTGGATTCAAGTTTAAATATTTAAAAGTAAATATTGTGATGGCAAAGTCATGCATGGGTTCTATTACCAGGGAATGCGTGAACTGATAAAATGCATCTTCCAAATGCATAAACATAAATGTGAGTTGCATGATTTGATGTACAGCAATAGTTTGAAGCTAACAGTGTACAGTAAGTTAAATGCCAGACTTTAACACAAAGAATTAGGGGTTTGTTTAAATGATTAATCCTAAGTATAAACAATAGTCAAGTATCTGGCTTGACTTGGCGCAAGACTGCATGAGCTTTTCTGATCTGCATCCGCAAGGGAGATGTGCACTAAAAACGTGCTTGTGAAACCCTTGATACTTCTCATATACACACACAATACAGTACTAAAGGAAAGCAAGAGCCCATGGCAAACATTGAATATCACAGCTTTTTTCACACTTGCTTCTCTCAGTACTCAGCCTTCACGTTTGATGTGTCAAAACTACAGTGCACACATTATTTATGTGCTTTCAAAACAGTAGAAATCCGTTATGAACCTGCCACAGACTCAAAACACTGCAATGGCTTGTGTTTACAGTCTGTGATGCTGAATAAGCAGATGGCATTCTGATATGCTTTTAACATTAAAACATGTTTTGGCCAGGCCTGTAAATCTGCTTGGTGGTCTCTATGGACGTAACAATGAAAACTAAAACGGCAACAAATCATTTGAATATGACGAGCTTTTTTGGATTTAAAGGTGAAGTGTATCTGTTTTCCTAAGTTGCAATACTTCCTCCTGTCACAGCTTAATATGCAGAAATAACATAGACCTTTTGCATGTTTATTTCCCTGTTGTGTAAACACTGTGACACTGATCTGTTTGTTTGAACCACCTGACATGTTAGCTTTTGGCTCAACCAATTGCATGAGTTTGAGGCGGTAATATGTGTATATATCTGAACAATGGCAGAGAAGGGGAGGGTTTTAGAAACTTGTTTGGATTGAAAACTGTCATTATGTTGGTTCCTATGGTTTTTATGGTTACCAACCATTCAGAACACCTTAACAACCACCTAGCAATGTCCTGTCAACAGCATATTAGAATGATTTCTGAAGGGGCATGTGACACTGAAGACTGGAGTAATGATGCTGAAAATTCAACTTTGCATCACAGAAATAAATTACATTTTAAAATGTATTCAAATACAAAACTGCTTTTTAAATTCTATTAATATTTTACAATTTTGTCTGTATTCTTAATCAAATAAATGCAGCTTTGGTGAGCATGAGAGACTTCTTTCAAAAACATTTAAAAAAAAATCCAAAACTTTAATTTTGTTTTTATGCTGATTTTTTTCTTCAGTCATAATCCACAAAATTAACCAACTAGGTTACATCTACAACAAAACACAGCGTCACACACAGCCTAAAGTGAGCGGCGGCGGCGGCCTAGAGTGAGCAGAGGCGGCGGGCTTGAGAACGGCGCGGCGGGCGAATTCGACGAAGGAGGCTTGCGGAAACCACATGTGACGACCCCGGGGTGGACTCCGCTTCATCCACAGTGAAAGCCGATCCGGGGATCCACAGCGCAAAGTTGTTGTATTTCCTCAGCAACCAGCACAGATCAGCTCTAGGCATGAAGAAGCAGATATCGTCCTCTTTTGGAAGGCCAAACAAAGTACTTTCGCTTTTAAAACAGTATCCCACAATGCAATGTGCTCGACATGACCTTTCATTTCCAGTGTAATGAATGAATGAAGCATGTTTGTTCAGAATTTTTTGAAGCATAAATTTGCAATGTTAAAATGCTAAGTAATTTGACACAAAACAGGATGAAAATGTAAAATAACCAATTTAATTTTGAAACTGTTAAATGAACATCACTTGCTGAATACGTAATAAGGTCATGTGACTTTACTGTTTCATACTACTTTTTAAAATGCTGTTTCACATAGTAGTTAAAAACAAAGCAGTATTCATTAAACGATGTGTTGGTGTTCCTTTCTCAACATAGCCAATAATTATGATCTGATCATCATATTTTAAACACAAGGTTCATTATGGACGACATGAATTTATACGTAAACCTTAATCAAATATTCTTGCGGTGCATCTAGACTACAGTTTTTTTCTTTTGCTGTGATTTATATTTTTTAGTTATGCGCTAATATGTTACCATTGAAAAGTTTGGGATCAGTAAGATTTATTTTAGTATTATGTTTTTTTAATATACTTTTATTAATCAGAAGTGCAATAAATTGATCGAAAGTAAAAGTAAAAATGTTTTAAAACGTTTACAATAGGTTTCTATTTTAATTCTATTAGAATTTTTTTTCATAGAATTTTTAGAATTTCGTTCCAGAAAAATAAGAAGCTGCAAAACTGTTTTCAACATTGATAATAGTAAATGTTTCTGGAGCAGCAAAGCAGCATATTCGAATGATCTCTGAAGGATCATGTGACACTGAAGACTGGAGGAATGCTGCTGAAAATTCAGCTTTGACTCACATGAATAAAATACATTTTTAAATATATTGAAATAGAAAACAGTTATTTGAAATAGCAATAATATTTCACAGTTTTACTATTTTTACAGTATTTCTGAAC